CTGCCAGGTCACCCAGTGCTGCCAGCTCCTGGAGTCTGGGCAGAGCATCCCGCCCAGTGATCCTGTGCTGCAGCCCCTCCAGGACTCGTGCTTCTCCCGGGCCGTGGAGCGCTACCCTCACATTCTGCCTTCTGTATCCTCCGGCAGCTCTCAGGCACCAGCTGGAACTAGACAAGCAGCCATGCCCAGGGCCCTGCTCCGGCTTCAGGGCTCTGTTTAGTGTCTTCACACACAGGACAGACAAGTGTGCGAAAAGCCACACAAGTGACGGTCCGGTTTCAAGTCTGGTTACAGCTCGGGCCCTCTCTGATCCTGCAGCTGCCTGCTGTGGTTACCAGCCCCTCCCCCTTTAGATTGGCCAGCTGAGAGTTTGGGACAAACATGAGGTGCTGATGGGCTGCTTCCCCACATCAGTCTGCTAGCTCTCCCGGTCGCACCCCCTCCCACTTTTGGGTTGCCCGAAGGAGCAGACGGCCCTGGTACAACGGGCAACTCTCTGTCCCTTTTGTTCCTGGATGGTCTTCCCCAGATCATGGGGCCTTCGTTCCCTTTCCAGCGCCCGACGCAAGGACCAATCCAAGGCAGTTTACAACACCGTTGACTCACAAGCTCCCTCCAGACTCAATCCCAGCATGCCCACAAGGCAGGATAGCACTCCTGCAGGGCCCTCCCTGCGCGGCACAGGGTAAGCAGCAGCCTATGCCCTGAAGTGCTTACAAGCCAGCCAGCCTACACAGCCATAGCAGTGACAGATGAAATGCCAGTGGCAAAGGCACATGTTGGGAGGTACTTTTAAACCAAATCGCTCCAAACCCACCTACCCCTTCCCATCATCTAGCTGCACCTTCCAAAAAGCCCTCCTGGCCTGCCCCACAGAAATGAGCAAGAGGGGCTGTCCCTGTCCCCCCACTCACTGGTAGTATGCAGGTGCGGGTCCTGTGCCCCAGTAAGACATCAAAGCTCAGCAGCTGGACAGATTGCAGAACGGCTGGCGAGACGCTGCCACTCCCAGTCCCGGCCTGCCCCCGCCCACCTGTAGCTGTAGCTTGGCTCTTCTCAGGCCCGCTCAGCCAGCTGGAGCCCTGGGAACAGATCAGAACTGGCACTGCTGGAACGAGCCCCACTTGGCAAAGGCCCACGTCTCTTAGCGGATACCTCAATTTATGGCTGTCGCTTTTAAGCCTCCACGGCCCAGTACTTTGTAGAAAAGAACACAGTGTCCCGGGGCTATTTCCATCCCTGCCCGTTCGAAAGGGATGCATGAAGAATCGGGTTTGAATGCTCGGGAAGCAGCCTGAATGCTCGCCCCTGCACTGCTGGTCGGAACGTACCCAAAGTCGTATTTGGGAACGGGGTACTAGCAGTTCCCTTGCTGCCCTCCAGCAGCTGCAGCACGACCTGGCCCAGAAGAGAAAAGCCCCTGCACTTCACCGGAGGGAGCCCGTCTCCTTCCGCACACAAGGGGCAGAGAGAAACAGCAGCCTGGTGATGGGGTGCGGGCAGGACAGCTGCAGATGCCCTCGGCACAGAGGCCCAAATTGCCATTCAAAGCGAGCAATAGCGGTAAATGTCCAGACTCTGCAGGCCGCCTCCCTGGGGAGCCCTTTCCAGTCCCGGCTCCCTCCTCTTGCTGCGCTGCCCGGGAGACAGCGACTTGACGTTCCACTTGTCGCTCTCTCCCACTCCGTCCTGGGGGAGGCTCCTCTGTGTCCTAATGACCCGGGGTCACAGCTGCTCCTCCCTGGGCTCAGCTTGTTGATTTGTACCTCAGTTGTGTAGCCACTGATGGTTTCTGGGGAGAGGCTGCCCGAGGTTTGTACTGTGACAGGGCAGCTGGGCTCACTGCTGTGTTTGATCTGGCCAGCGACTCGTGTTCCATACTGGTCCAGTGTCCCGTGCTTGTGGCCAGGAGGTGAGGATTGGCAGGCCCAGGACAGATGCTGCTGGCAGGCCTCTGGGTTTAGAGCTTGCTCCTCTAACGCTGTGAGCTGGGCAGCGTTGCTGCTGTGAGGTGTCTGGCTAGCAGGCGGGAGCTGCAGGGGTTGCGCACATCTGAAAACTACGCTCCACCAAGGCATAAAAATCACTTTTCTGTCTGAACATCATGTGCCTGCTGTTATCACAAAACAGCAAACCATGAAAGGCAGCAAAGCACCATCTGCAGCAAAGCTTCCCCCTGCAGCCACTGTGCACACAGTCCATTTCAAGGTGGCCTTTTTGTCTGTCTCTCACACACTGGCATCACTGCCCGACACAGCACAGCACATGCTCCCCCTCAGTATTCGAGCAGCCCTCACCACAGCTACAGAGTTAAACTGCAGGCATGGCCATGAGGCGTGTGCACAGAAAGACCGAGAAAGGGATATTGGGGGAGGAGGAGGGAGGGAGAGAGTCCAAACAAGATGCACAAAAAGACACAATCCAACAATAGAGGAAGAAAACCATACTGGTTAAAGAACTGACCTGGTTTAGAGGGGAAAGAAAGGCAAGTGTCAAAAATAAAAATACATTACAGTGGCAGGAGGGGGAAGTTGGTAGTAATGACTAGGAATTGTAAAAAAATGATCAGGGAAGCCACGGGATACTAGGAGAAATCACGGCCAGTAGCATTAAGGACAATAAGATGAGATTTTTAAGTATATTCGAAACAAAAAGAATTCTAGACCATTTTTAGATCAAAACAGTAGCCATAATAAGAATGCATAAAAAAGAAGTTCAAGAAATATATCCATTCTGTAGTTGGGAAAAAACAGATGTAGTCAAATCATAGAATACTGTACTATTATAATGAATAAACAATTAAAGGAGGAGAATATAATGAATACCAAGCAATATGGATTTAAGGAAAATAGATCCTGTCAAACTGATTGATTCCTGTTTTTGATGAGATCACAATTTTGGTTAAGGTAACACTGTTGCTGTAATCGTAGACCCAGCAGGGCATTTTGATTCAAAAGCTAGAATAAAACCTTTACCTGGCTGACAAGCCTCAACATCTAATAGTAAGCACTGAATTATCCTCAAGTGGGACTGTGTCTAGTGGGGTCTTTCAGGGATCACTTCTTGGCCCTACACTTTTAACCCATGACCTTGAAGAAAATATATAACCAACTCTGATCAAGTTGGCATACATTGGGGGGAGTGGGATAAACACAGAGGACAAGTCCCTGAATCAGATCTATCTAGATTGCTGGGTATGTCGGGTGCAAGCAGTGTGCTTTTAATATGGCTAAATCTAACTGCGTACATCTAGGAACAAAGGATGTGGGCCATACTTACAAGATGGAGGAGTCTGTCCTGGATAGCAGTGAGGGTCGTGCTGGGTAATCAGCTAAACATCAGCTCTCCGCGGGATACTGTGGCCGAGGGAATTCATGTCATCTTGGAACATCCATACAAGGGAAGCTTAGGCAGAGTCAGAGAGGTTACTTACCTCTTCATTTGGCACTAGTTTGACTGCGGCTGGAACCTGTGTCCAGTTCTGGGCCCACAGTTCCAGAAGGACGTTGATACATTGGAGAGGGGTCGGAGAAGAGCTCCAAGAAGAATTCATGGCAAACATGCCTTCCAGTGACCACTTCAAAGTGCTCAATGTATTGATTTTAATAGAGAGGTTCAGGGGTGACTTAGATCACTGGTTATAAGCGCCTACCTGGGGGAACCAAAGTTCAATAATGTGCTTCGCAATCTGGCAGAGAAAGATCTAGGAGGAACCAACGGCTGGACGTTGACGCCAGACAGACTGAGATGGGAAATCGTGTCCATTTTTAATAATGAGGGAAATTTGAAACCGTTTACTGAGGTTGTGATGGATTCTCCATCTCTGGCAGTTTTTCAGTGAAGGGGGATGTTTTTCTGACAGCGCTCCTTGGGAATTGCTTAGATGTCCTACAGGACATTCTGTGGCCCCTGTTTTCCAGCCAGTCGGCCAGGATTATCACCATGGCCCTCCTAAGTCTGGGAGTCTGCTTCTCAGTTGGAGGCCACCTCAGTGAGGGGTTGGGTTCTTTTGCTTCTCACTTGTGTGCTACCCCCGACTGATTTTTCTGTGGGTCAGCAGCCCCTGACCCAAAAAAGGTTCCTCATCCCTGCCTTAGAGACTAACAGAAATATACAGGATTATGAGCTTTTGTGGGTAAAAGCCACTTCACCAGATGAGTTGGCGTGGAAATAACAGAATCCAAAGGGGGGGAGGGGTGTGTGTGTGTGTGTGTGTATAACCTGCCAACTCTAGGTCCTGTGTTAATGAAGCTAAGTTAAGGGGGCTGGCTGTGTCCCATTCATAGTTTTTGATGTGAAAATGTGAATGTGAAAGGCAGGGGAAATTGGCTTTGTCGTGCGTTAATCAGTTAATATCTTATTCAAGCCCAGTGTGGAAACAGTCAGTGTAGTATGAATGGCAACAAGTTCATTGTTATTTGGTGCTCCTCCTCTTGGATTTCCAGACTCAGGGTCAATTCAGGGACACACATGGTTCCCCTGCAGTTTCTGACTGTTTTTTCCTCTCACAGGTATCAGGTGTGTGATGGTGGCTACAATCAGTCTTGTGGGTATTAATGGAGCCTTTGATGAACATGGCTACTGGTTTCTCGTGCCTGCCTGCAAAACTACAGTGTGCTGGTAAGTTAGAGACAGTCGTGAAACCACACTCTGCTTTGGAGATGAAACTCTCCTGGCAGCAAACAAGCAGGGTCAGTTTGTTCACCCCCTAAGCTGCAGTGGTGCTTCCAGTCAGAACGTGGGAGTAGTAGTGTCTCGGGTCTGCCCTGTGGATGTAGCGTCCAGTGCAGTGAATCATGGGACTGGCACTTCACCGGGCTTCTGCTTCAGTGTGGCAAACAGCACAGAGGCAGTAGCAGGGGCCCGGAGAGGAGATACACTCCATTAGCTCATGTGCTGGGCGCTGAGCTGGACAGCCACCTGTCTGCCATGCAAAGCACTTTGCAGCTGTATTTTAAAGGAGGAGGCTGTACAGGAAGGATGGGCAACACCTAAACCCAAATGGAACCCTACCGTTGGCATGGAAAATTAAAAAGGCAGTAGAGGATGTTTAAAACTAGGGGCTGGAGAAAACCTACAGATGGGGAGGCGCTCACAGTTCGGACAGAGCTACCCTTTGGGAAGACACTATTAAATAGGGATTCTGTACAGTCTGCTAAAGCAGAGAGGATAGAAGCTGATGAAGTGTAAGTCACCACTGAAGAGAAAGTTGTTTGAAAAAAGAATCCTATTAAAGAGTAAAAGAGTTACATCACATGACAACTCAGCAGCAACACAGTGCTTCTGTACAAATGCTACACGTCTCGATACTAAGACGGGTGAACTTCACCAGCTGGCACTAAATGAGAATGGCGTTAGAAGAGGCATCACCAAAACTTGGTGACATTGATGATAATCTACATGACAGAGTAATACCAGGGGAAGAGTAAGAAATAAGTCATGTTGGTGGGAGAGTTCCCACTATATGGAAAGGAAGAATACATAGTGTCAAATGCAGTAAACCTCTTAAATGAATGAAACTGCATCACAGAACCGCTATAGAAATTCCAGGCTTGAATAATAAAGAGTACAGCAGGAGGAGTATACTACAGACTACCTCACCAGGACTGTGATGGAGTCTGAATGATCAAGGAGATGAGAGGCTAAAAAATATTGAACACTCAGTAATTAATACTGGCTGATTTCAACTGTCCCCACATTACTGGCTCTGTATCACACCACAGGATGGGATGCAAAGGTAACATTTCTAGATCCCAGCAATGACTGTGTCTTGGGGCAGCTGGTGTTGGAACCCATAAGGGGAGAGGCAGTTCTTGATTTAGTCCTGAGTGGTCCACAGCATTTGGGCCAAGATGCAGATATGTTAATAATAACCACAATGTACATTGACCACCCTGGGGGGAGGGAAAATATGAGAAAAGATTAAAAGACTGGGAATACTCAGCATAGAAAAGAAACAGTTAAGCAGACAATGCTAGAGCTTTATACATTCACAATAGGTATAAAGAAAAAGGAAGTGTTGTTTACCTTTTCACGTAACACACGAGCCAGAGACTATCCAATCAAATCAATAGGCAGCAAGTTTAAAACAAAACTTGGTCTTCGAGTGTATGTGTCTATTATATGGTAATACCTTCCCTCTCTACCAGCCTTCTATTCCCTGTACATAAGTACACCCCTCCCCCCAACATACCCATGTCTTCATTTACAAATATTCTCTCCCTGTTACAGGTGCCCAGAGAGCTCATTCATTTAGATATGTTTGACAGCTCTTCAGACACATACTACTGGCATGCAGATGCATGGAAGCATTCTTCAAATGGAGTTACTTTTAATCTCCCCCATTCCAAGATCTCAAACTCCTTTCTAACACACATTCCTCTCCATTGTTGCAGGCTTGAAAAACCTCACACAAGTTTTGATTCCTTCAAGACTTTGCCACAGCCTCTATCACACATCTGCTCTCATAGAAGAAAAAAAAGCATACAAAATAACGTTTTCCTTTTCTACACTGTATTATTGTAAGGAAGAGAGTGTTACTTGTGAAAGCATGGTTGGACTGTCATTGCTGTAGAGTTTGAAAAGTATTTTCAAACAAGAACATAAAAAAAACCAACCATCAAAGCAAAAAGAGCAAGTATTTTTATACTAAATATGCGTGTAGCAATCTTAATGCTGGGATGGATCACAGTTTTTGTGCTTGACTTTTGAATGCGTGCAATTAAGATTCTCTTTTTTTTTTCTTTTTTCTAAGCTGCATGTTTCAAGACATGTTTTTAAATCTCGTTCAAATTTAAAGAAGTGTCTTGTTAGTTTTATAGACCTGGTTCTCGGCGAGAGCCGAGTTAAAATGTGCTGAACTACAGATCTGAGTGTATTTACAGTATTAGGGTTTTAGTCCCAAGTGTACCATATTCTTTCAGGCAGGACAATCAGAAAACAACTTAGTATACTTTTTCTACCTTACGGGTACAGTTCCAGCTTGCTGCATGAGGCTTTAGTATAGCAGAGAGCTGGAAAAAGCCATGCATGGAGACTGCTATGAACGAGAACTTTCTCTGTGCTTACTGCATGCACAGTTACATTTGCTGGCTCACATCTTTTCAGGGGCAGGGAGGGCTGGTTCCAGTAACTGCTTGAAATTTGTATTGGCAATGTAAACTGTTTGTAATGGGGAAAAATTGGCCCCAATTCAGCAACACACTCAAGAACGTGCTAGAGTCTAGTTGAAGTTAATAAGTGCATACTTAGTTATGCTTCAGTGCTGTGTTGAATTGTGGCCTTCTAAATAGTTTATTCCTGTCCAGCTCCTTGTTATCTAGGTAATATACTGGTATTTTTCAATGAAAAAGTGAAGCCAAGAAGGGAGGCTTTGGCATTTTCTGCTAACTCTGTTCTTTACTACAGTCATGATCCTGAAGCAATATTTGTGATGTTTACTGAGAATACTGTATTAGCAACAAGAAGCTTATTTTAACAGTACATTCCTTTTCCCTATTGCTTTTCCCTTTGCATAGGAATAATATAAAAATGAGTTCTTGTTTTCTTGACCACTCTCCCATAATGCTGTGCTGCAGACTGTACTGACTGGTTCAAGAAGGACCTGACTATTGACAAGTTTTGTGAAAGCGTGCTCACAAGTTCCCCCATAGTTTTGGTCAGATTGTGCTGAACACCTAGTGATGTCAGTGTTTTTATAACAACACAATAGTTTTTTGTGGAAATGCAGATGTCGAGAATTCTTCATTCCTAAAACCACAATAGTAGTTGAAGGCAGAAAACAGAAAAATACCAATTCTACCTTGAGAGAACAAATTAAATTCTACTACACATGTTTAAAGAAATCTAAACAGAAGGGTCTAACCATTCTAACCAATAGACTAGTTCTTTAGAAAACTGATTTTCTGTACTTGTTTTGGGAAATAGGGGAAAGAAACATCCATTGTCTACTCTGCTTTTTTGAAATATGTTTAAAGGTACTTTTCTATTGTAATTTTTAAAAAATAAAACTATTATTATAACATATCACAGCTTTGGGTGTTGATTTACTTATGGCAGGATGGCCAGTCCACGTACATCATGGAGGTCATGTTTTTAAAATGGTTATGGACTGATTTTTAAGGCCCATTTGGCTTGGCTGTGATGTGATTTCCCATTGTGTTAGCCGTGGTAAATGCATAGACACATACACTAAGGGCCAGCTTCAAAGGCCTAAACACTCACAGAAAGCATGTGAAGGACTCTCTAAACTGATGTTTAGGGCACTATTTGGCTCTACTCCAGTGACTATTTCAGTAGTCACACAAAGTGGAGCATCATCCACAGGAGTGTTTGAGAAAGCTGCACCCTAGAATACCTGGTAGGCCGGTGGGTAGGGAATTCATGCATGATACAAGAGATCTAGGTTCAAGTCTTTACATCATGACAGCTGGAGGAGGGTCTTCCTCATCCCAGGTGAGTGCCCTAACCAGAAGGCTACAGGCTGAAATCTGAGCACACCTACTCGAGTGGGCAAGATAAGCACGGGAATTGCCACATTCATGAACCCTTCGGGGTTTCGGTGTGAGCAGGCACCGAGCAACGTGACTTAGAAGTCTTTGCATATGCTCGCTGATGGACATTCCTGGTGCATAAAGAGTTAGGTGGCAGCTGAGCAACAGTTTTGAGGACCCACCTTTTGTGCATAGTGCCCTGAACCCCACATATAGCTAGCGCTCGGTGCCTAACTCCACTTGACTGCAGTGGGACTTAGGTAAGAGGCAATTTGGAGAAAACCCACTATGTGTCGACCTGTATCTCCAGGCACATAAATATCAGTAAATATCTGCCCCTAAGGGCCAGATTTTTCAAAAGTGCCCAGCAGTTCCCTCTGAGAAAAGCAACTTGGGAGTGTTCCCCCGGGAGCCAAACACATTTCAAACACTGGCCGTAAATCTGCACCAGAATTTGCTCTTATAAAAGGGATTGACAACGGCTGTGTCCCTATGTGCTCCACCAGGCTCTAAGATGCTTAAAACAACATACTGCTGAAAAGAGCCATCTTGGTGAAAGAGCCTTGAGACCCACAGCACAAATTTGGCATGCCACAAAACAGATTAAAACGTGGCCTGCGCCTGTGGGGAAAGCACTGCGCGTGCCACATTACAGACGGACTTGAGAATCAGGATCTGGGAAGCTATTCTCACTGTAACACACTAAGGAAGCCCCAAGGTGAACAGGAGAGTTACCATTCAGAAGAGAATTTTTGGCAGACACAGAGCAGGAGGTTAGGCATGTCATTAGACTAGAGCAAAGTACAAGTCACATGAGGTAAAACTGCTAATTCTATAGGAGGGGTAACCAGCTTAGGTAGTCTACTGGCACTGGCTGTTCCAATGCCTGGCATTGCAAGAGCTCATATGCCTCACATTTAATAAAACCTAACATCTCCATGGGTCTCCACAAGCAAGAGTGGTATTGAAAGACCAAGGGAACCCATTGCGGAACTGCTGGAATGTCCTACACCCGTGTTTCTGAACCCCTATGGGGTACTTGAGAGACTTCGGGGGGGGAGGGGTAACGTCAACACAACTGAAATTTGGAGAAAACTGAATTTTTGTTTTAAGTTTTATAGCGCTTTATTATTTTTGTACTTTTGACACCCAAACATTTCATCGCCCGCCTGGCTATGATTAAGTTGTTTAAACAAATGTGTTGCAATGGTAGATTTTGTGTGTATGTGTGTCTGAAAACGGTAGGTACTGGGGGTACTTATATATTTTTTTGTATTGGAAAAAGGGGTACTTACCCAATGACAGCAGGATGCGGTGGAAAGCTGGAATCCCAGGGCCAATGCTGGCCTCTTAACACCAGGTAAAATCCCAGGAGACTGGTTAGGCTGGAACATCTGTACATAAGAAAAATACACTCATTAAGTGTCCCAAGTCATTGTTACGCCACCTACATATTTACAGCCCCCGACAGGCTCCACATTATTACACACAATATATACAGATATAAATCTGCCCAATGTGTAAAAAAAATCACCAATATACAGACTAATGCTAATTAAACATACCAGTCCCCTTTAGGAAGCTTAGTAGCAGTAGGTCTTTGCAATTGGGCCTCGGATCAATGCTCCAGGGTTCCCCAACCTATGGGTCAGGACCCAAATATGAGTCACCATTACATTTCAAAAGGGTCGCCAAGTTTCTTCCCAGGTGGCTCTGCTTTTTCTCTTCCCCCTGTTTTTGAATTGCCTTGGGTCACCAAGGCTTCCTGAATTGTCAAAATGGGTCCTCATCTGGAAAAGGTTGGGAACCGCTGTGCTAATCTTTTCCATGTGCAAAAGTGCACCACCAGTAGAAACAAAACCATAGCTGTGCGCCAAGCCTTCCCCTAGAGCATCGTGTTGCGACTGACACAACCTGGTTCCTCTCTACCCGTGATCAACCTGTCTGGCCACCAGACTGATCCAGACCCTGGACTGGTTACAAGAACAATGACTGGTAGGACAGTTGAAGCAAAATGCAGGACAATGTAGCACTTTAAAGACTAACAAGATGGTTTATTAGATGATGAGCTTTCGTGGGCCAGACCCACTTCCTCAGATCAAATAGTGGAAGAAAGTAGTCACAACCATATATACCAATGTGTGTGTGTGTGTGTGAGCATACACTAGCTGTTAAGTATTCTTAACGCTGCATATTGCTGCTTTCCCTGAAAAAGATCCTGTGCACTGCTTCGGTGAAGACAGGCAGTCAGGGCAGTCCCTGTGTGCAGGAACTAGCTAAACAAAGTTACCAGCCAAACACCATTTTCACTGCCACCGCCCCTCCCCAGGATGTGGCTGCTGTTGCTAGCACTCTCCAGGCAACCGCACATGCCTGAATGCCAGGCTGGAACATTAGCAGCGAGCAAACAAAGCAGGAAATAATCAGGTGTCATTGCCATTACCTCCTCTAATCAGCGTTAGCTTGCAATCCCTCCTCAGCAGCCCCCTGTGCCTGGCCTACATCTGTCTGCACATATAAGAAATGACAGGAGCAGGCCTACTGCAGCCACTTGAGTATTCTTTCCATAGCTGGGCTTGACTCTAAGCTAACTTGTCTCCTACTTTCTCTAAGAACCTGGAATGATTGTGATGAATTATATATCAGAGGCACTACAAACTGCGGCATGTTAGTATTCTTATTCAACCGTGTAAAATCCAGCTGTTCCCTGCACTCCCAAGCAGTTCTGTAGACAAGGGAGGAGACGGAAGAATTCTTCAATTGCAGCAACTTTGCAAGAAGTAGTTAATGCATCTGTGGGTCTTTTATTGCAGTTTAGACATACACAAAGAACTCAATCTATTTTGCTTAACAAAGAGAAGGTTAAAGGGAGACTTCAATTACAGTCCAAGTGTCAACATGGGGAAAAGTCAGCCCCTGTACCATATGACTGGTAGATAGATAATGTGTTGCCAATTTTTTTTTTTTTTTTTAAAAAGGCTATTTCAACACCAGGCAAAGTGGCTGAAACTATAACAAAGAACAGAATTATCAGACACATGGATAAACACAAGGCATTGGGGAAGTGTCGATGTGACTTTTGTAAAGGGAAATCATGCCTCACCAATCTACTAGAATTCTTTGAAAGATCAACAAGCATGTGGACAAGAGAGATCCAGTGGATAGAGCGTGCTTAAATTTTCAGAAAACCTTTGGCAAGGTCCCACCTCGAGGGCTCTTAAGCAAAGTAAGCTTTTTACTGCAGCATGTCAGTGTCCTCTCATGGACTAGTAACTGGTTAAACAATAGGGGGAAACCGGTAGGAATAAATGGTCAATTTTCATTATGCAAAGAAGTAAATAGTGTGATTCCCAAGTATCTGTCATGGGACCAGTGCTGTTCAACATATTCATAAATGTCCTGGGAAAAGGTGTAAGCAAGGAGGTGGTAACATTTGCAGATGATACAAAATTGCTCAAGATAGTTAAGGTTAAAGCAGACTGTGAAGAGTTACAAAGGAATATCATAAAACTGGGTGACCAGGCAACAAAATGCCAGATGAAATGCAATGTAGATAAGTGCAAAGTAATGCATATTGGGAAACAATCCCAACTATATGTACAAAATGATGGGACCTAAATTAGCAGTTACCACTCAAGAAAGAGATCTTGGAGTTATCTGGACATTCTCTGAAAACATGTGACACACCTTGACTTTAGCAAGGCTTTTGATACGGTCTCCCACAATATTCTTGCCAGCAAGTTAAGGGAATGTGGATTGGATAAATGGACGGTAAGATGGATAGAAAGATGGCTAGAAGGCAGGGCCCAGCGGGTAGTGATCAATGGCTCGATGTCAGGATGGCGGTCGGTTTCTAGTGGAGTGTCCCAATGATCAGCTTTGAGCACATCCTGCAACAGAATGGTATAAGATGCTGAGCAACAAATATTATCAAAGGTCTAAAAAACATGACCTATGAAGGAATATTGAAAGAATCAGGTTTGTTGAGTCTGGAAAAAAGAAGGCTGAGAAGGGACATGAGAGCAGCTTTCAAGTACCTACAAGCCTATTACAAAGAGGAGGAAGAAAAATGACTCTTCTTTACCTCTGAGGAGAGGACAAGAAGCAATGGACTTAAATTGCAGCATGAGATGTTTCGGATGGACACTCAAACAGCTTTCTGTCAGGGTGGTTAAACACTGGAATAAATTGCCTAGTGAAGCTGAGGAATCTCCATCACTGGCGATATTTAAGAGCAGGTTGTACAAACATCTGTCAGGGATGATCTAGATGGTGCTTGGTCCTGCCTTTAATGCAGGGGACTGGACTTGATGACCTCTCAAAGTTCCTTCCAATTCTAGTGTTCTCTAGTTCTATGTTGAGGGTACATTTATCTACAGCAGCAGTTTTCACTTTGGGGTCTGTGGACTATGTCTAAGGGTCCATGAAAGGCTGTCCCTACCAGGTTTTGAACCTGGCTAAAATTTCCAAAGGGGTCTGCACCTCCATTTGGAATTTTTTAGGGGCTCACTAATGAAAAAGAGGTTGAAAACAAAAGGTCTA